AATAGAAAACGCAAGAGAAACAAGCGCTTCGGCCCCCGCTATGATTCAAACGGAGTTCATTTACAAGACAGAAAAGAAAGACAATTGCCACATCAGGGCGTTTCACGAGTGCCGGGCTCGTTGGAAACTCGCGAAGCAGCCGTTTGTGGGGACCACCCCTGCCGCACACCCCCGCGTTGAAGGCAGCAGCGGCGCGAGTTGCTGCAGAACAGCAGAACTGCACCCACCACCACCCAACGCGGCCCCGCAGAAAACATAGCAGTTCGTACCCGCAGGAAACAACAAATACATCCAAACACACTCCCTACTCATATCTTTGGCCTCCTCTGGGCGCGTGTCCCCTCCACGGGAGCCCCTTCAAAAATTAATTTATTTTACAGCTGGGAGCATGAGGGCCGCCCCAAAGAAGGTCGCACCGTCGCCGCTCGCATCTCCATAAATACCGCAGCGCGCAGTTACTCGGGTCGACGAACGTGGATGGTGACATTCGAGCCATCCGTCGCCGAGCACGCCTCTTCTGTTGGAGACAAAGACGCTCTCCACAAGCCACTGTGCGACAGGCGCCCCCCGAGACCGCCCCCCCTCTCAACAGCGGCGTTGAATAAGTGCAACGCATCGCCACTCCGACAGACAGAAATGGGCTGCAGACTTTCTTTGCGCGGCTTGCCCTCAGACGGAAGCTTGCAGGCACTTTTCCTCATCACACGGCCCATTTTGGCCGCCAGCCGCTCCATCGCCACGCGGCACGCCTCCTCCTCACGGCCCGCCCTTCTGACCCCGCACGGCACACTGACCCCCCACCGCTCGCAGAGAGGACGCAGAACCTTCAGCCGCTGCGGAGCCACAAAGGTTCCAAACAGCAAAGCCAACAGAGACACAATAGTGTGCGAGACGCTGCTCATCGCGGTGGACGCAGAGGCCTCGTCACTGCTTGACGTAGCATCGCCATTGTCGTCAAGCTCCGCCGCCTCTCGGTACAGCCGCAGCGCAGCGAAGGTGCGCCCGGGCACAGCGTCCAGCTGGTACATCTCCACAGGCTCCGGCACCCCGCGCA